TCCGCATTGGTAAACTCATTGCCAACATGGTCTTCAAACTCTTGTCAGCGCTGCGACCATGTGGCTGAGGATAGGTTAGATTTCACCGGGTATCCTAACTCGGTTATAAGCTGCCTCAGCTCCGTAGATGACAAGGGAGTATACGTCTCGCTAGTACCAGTTATCGGTTTGGCCCCAAAGTTCCCGGGGCACCCAAATCGAGTAGTAGTTGTGAGTGCGCAAACCTGTCCTTCAGCCCCCCGGAAATCCCTCGTACAGCACAGGAGTAAGCCCACTGATCCCTGCAGGTCTGTTTGTACTTGGCCACTGCCATTTCTTGCTGTTTAAGCAGTGTGGGGTTTACTGCCTCATTTTTTTTATTGGCGTGGGCTATTCGGCAAGCCGCCTGCAAGTCCACACATCGTTGTTGCAGCTCTTGTATTTTCAACTGCGCTACCTCGATTTCTTGGTTTAAACGGTTGTTATTCTTCTGTAAAGCCCATGTCTGGGGAGCTCCCAGCTGTAGGCTACTACACATTACTTCCAGGTCTTGATTCTGCGCACTTATCAATCACCGCCTGCTGCTCCTCCTGAGCCTGATAACTTTCCTTTTTAAACTCAGTGTGCGCCGCTAACGACTTAGATAACTGCCGCTGCAGCTTCTCTACATCACCTCCGTTTCCATAACACGATTTTCAACACTATTCTTTTAGCCTTATCACTCAACCTTCGCTTTGTGCCCTCTTCCTGAATAGAGTTAACTATCCTGGTCAACCCTGCCTCCAGCCGTCTTTCCACTTGCCAATATACCTCTTGTATTGGGCCGCGTAGCTTCTTGTTTAACCCTCTCTGGAACTTCTCATGCCACCCGTACGTCTCCATTGTAGCTTTGCTTTTAATCCTATCTACCAATTGGTTCCACTCCCAGTGGTTTTCAAATTCTGCTCCAACACTAACGAGTCGACGCTCGATTAGTGTTCCCTTACGAGTCGATGTTCGATTAATATCCCCTCGCGAGTCGATGCTCGATTAATATCGTCAAGTCCTTCTGACGATATAACCGCACCATTCCACACTCGCGAGTGACACCATCAAGTCCTTCTGACGATATAACCGCATCGTTCCACCCTTGTGAGTAATTACCCGGGTTGGCTTAACAGATTTATTTTGCTGAGCCCCTGTTCGGGCGCCAAATGTTAGATATCAAGAAAGGTCACCCAGCATTCTGTTTAGGTAAAATCTGTTAAGCCAAACTTTACTAGTTCTATAAAGTTACACCATAGAGGGATTACAACAAAGCAATGCTACCGCGGGACAAGACAACAACAACAACAACAAGATTCCATTTATAGAGCGCCTTTCACATCAGGAGGACGTCCCAAGACGCTGTACAGTTGGGTCGGGACCCGAGCATTGGGGAAATGGTCAGGGTGAGGGGAGGGAAGGGAGGGAGCGAGGAGGGGGGAAATGGTCAGGGTGAGGGGAGGGAAGGGAGGGAGCGAGGAGGGGGGAAATGGTGAGGGGAGGGAAGGGAGGGAGTGAGGAGGGGTAGAGAGTCGAGAGGGGAGCTGAAGGCACGGTTAAAGAGAAAGGTCTTGAGACCGGCCTTGAAGGAGGAAAGGGAGGAGGCGGCGAAGGCACTGGGGGATAGAGTTCCAGAGCCTCGGGGCTGAGAGGCTGAAGGCCCGGCCACCGATGGTAGGGCGGTTGGGGCGGGGGATGTGGAGCAGACCGGAGCCAGAGGAACGGAGGGTACGGGCAGGTAGGTAGGGGGATAGGTCAGAGAGGTAGGAGGGAGCAAGGCCGTGAATGGCCTTGTAGGTGAGGGTGAGGATCTTGAATTCGATCCTCTGGGGGATGGGGAGCCAGTGGAGGGGAGCGAGGGTGGGAGTGATGTGGTCCCGAAGCCTGGTGTGGGACAATACACGAGCTGCAGAGTTCTGAATGACCTGCAGTGTGGAGGGAGGGCCGGGAAGGCCGACGTGGAGAGAGTTCCCATAGTCCAGCCTTGAGCTGATAAAGGCGTGGACCAGAGTTTCAGCCGCGTGAGGGGAGAGGTAGTGCCGTAGTCTGGTGACATTCCGGAGGTGATGGAAGGCGGTGCCAGTTGTGGCGCAGATATGAGGGAGAAAGGACAGCTCAGGGTCGAACAGAACCCCGAGGTTCCTGATTGGCTTTGAGAGGTGGAGAGTGCAGCCTTGGATGCTGATGCTGTCAGCGCCTGAGGTGCGGAGGCGCTGACGTGAGCCAATCAGGAAGGCCTCAGTTTTGCGCGCGTTGAGCTGAAGAAAGTTGTCTCTGGTCCAGGACTCGATGTCGGACAGGCAGCTGTCAGGACATCGGTGGTCGTGGAGTTGAGGGTAGAGGAGGAAAGGTAGAGTTGGGTATCATCCGCATACATGTGGAAGTTGATCCCATGTCTGCGGATGATGTCACCGAGGGGGAGCGTATAGAGGGTGAAGAGGAGGGGACTGAGGACAGAGCCTTGAGGGACACCACACGAGACAGTGCGGGGGCCGGAGGAAAAACCATTCGTGGAGACAAAGTGACGACGGTGGGAGAGGTACGACCTAAACCATTCAAGGACAGGGCCTTGAAGGTTTAGGTGGGAGGACAAGCGGTGGAGGAGGATAGCGCGGTCGACCGTATCGAATGCTGCCGATAGGTCGAGGAGGACGAGGAGGCAGAGGGAGCCCTGGTCACAGGTGGTCAGGATATCATTGGTGACCTTGACCAGGGCAGTTTCTGTGCTGTGGGCAGCACGGAAACCCGACTGAAGGGGTTCGAATAATGAATGGGTGGAGAGGAAAGAGCGCAGCTGGGAGGCGACAACTCGTTCCAGGACCTTGGACAGGAAGGGGAGGTTGGAGATGGGCCGGTAGCTTGATAGCTGCAACGCATCAAGGGAGGGTTTTTTCAAGGTGGGAGTGATGGTGGCAGTTTTTAAGGGAATGGGAACAGAGCCAGAGGAGAGGGACAGGTTGACGATGTCTGTGATATGTGGGGCATATGCTGAGACGTTCAGCAGCCGAAGTTCCAATCTGTCTTGTCTGGTTATTCAAGCTTTCGATCTTCCATCAAGTCTTCCCTCGTGCTCCTCCGATCTTTTCCTTCTTCTCCTTCTTTGGAGTCCTGTAGCTCAGTGGTTAGAGCGCTCGCTTTGCAAGTGAGAGACCTGAGTTCAATTCCAGGCAGGGCGAAACCTTGGGCAAGTTTCCTTACTCCACACGCCTAATAATAATCCCTCCAAAACCAAAAATAATAATAAAAAAAAAGAATTGGTCATTTTCAATCTACGACTGTTTGTGGGACATTGCTGTGCGCAATTGGCTGCCGCGTTCACCCACAAATATACAGTCAATTCACTTTGCAGTGTGTTCTGTGAAGCGCTTTGGGACGTCCTCCCGACGTGAAAAGCGCTATACCAAATGCAAGGATTATTATTATTATTATTATTATTATTGTTCTCCCTATCTTTATACTCTCATTCCACTCCCACTATACCTTCCACCAATCTCTTGTCAGTCATTTAAAATCCGTTATTAACATATCCAATCATGTTTCCTTCAACCCTCTTTTTTTGTACTGACTCCATATGTTCCATGACCTCTCACCCATGTTGACCCATTGTTAGTATGTTAATTCTGCACCCTTATGCTAACAGTGGCTATGGATGTAATTTATATGGACTTTCAGAAGGCATTTCATACGGGTCCACACAAAAAAAGTATTATTAGCGAAAATGGAAGCATGTGGAGTCGGAGGTATTTTTGTGACGTGGCTTGGTAATTGGTTGGGAGGCAGGAAACAGAGAGTAGGGATAAAGGGAATATTCTCAGATTGGCAGGACCTGACAAGTGGTGTCCCCCAGAGGTACTGAGACCCCAGCTATTTGCCATATATATAATATATATATGGCAAATAGCCATATATAATATATATTTATATAAAGGACTTGGGTGAAGGAATAGAAAGATTTACATCCAGGTTTGCAGACGACTCTAAGCTAGGAGGCTCAGTAAATTCTGTAGATGGGAGTAGGAAGTTACAAAGGGATTTAGGCAGATTAAGTGAGTGGGCAAAGCTGTGGCAGATGGAATTCAATGTAGGGAAGTGTGAGGTCATCCACTATCGACCGAAAAAAGATAAAGCAGAATATTTTCTTAATGGGGAGAAATTAAGAACTGTGGAGGAGCAAAGAGATTTGGGTGTCATATAAACAAATCACTAAAGACTAGTTTCCAGGTGCAAAAAGTAATCAAAAAGGCGAATGGAATGTTGGCCTTTATCTCAAGGGGCCTGGAATACAAAAGTGAAAAAAAATGATGCTTCAGCTGTACAGTCCCATCTGGAAACTGTGTTCAGTTTTGGGCATCACACTTCAGGAAAGACATATTGGCCTTCGGGGGTAGGGGGGTGGGGTGGAGCGCAGGTTCACCACAATGTTACTTGACCTAAAAGGGTTAAGTTATGAGGAAAGGCTGCGTAAACATGGATTGTATTCCCTTGAGTTTAGAAGGTTGAGGGGTGATTTGATTGAGGTATTTAAGATGAAAAAAGGGATTTGGTAGGGTAGATACAAAGAAGCTATTTGGGGGAATCCAAAACAAGGAGGCATAGCCTTAAAATTAGAACCAGATCATTTAAGGGTGAAATCAGGAAGCATTTTTGCACTCAAAGGGTGGTAGACATCTGGAATTCTCTCCCCCAAAAGGCTGTGGATGCTGGATCCAACCACGCCTTCAGGAGTGAGGTTGATAGATTTTGGTAGGTCAGGGTATTAAGGGATATGGGATAAAGCGGGAAATTGGAATTGAAAGGATTAGTTGAGGTACAGATCAGCCATGATCTAATTAAATGGTGAAACAGGCTTGAAGAGCTGAACAGCCTCCTCCTGTTCCTATGTTCCATCACACAAAACCCATTAAGCAAGAATTTCGGCTAATTTCAAAGAGCATTCCAATATTCAGCATGGGTTACTTTTTGCAAGTAAAGTACAAAGAAAAAGGGGGTATGGTGCAGGCGGTCACTTTATTGAATGTATTATATACATCGACTGACCTTAAAATTGGTACAAGAGTTCTGTCTCAGACTGATGCTGTAATCATCCAATGTGAATTGCCTCCATTGTATGTTTCCTACTCGACAAATTAAAGGAAGGATCATCTGAGTTTTGGATTAATATTGCCAAAACAATGATAGCAGAAGATTGGACACATTTGCTCTGACTGCCACACGTCTCCACCATCCTTATTTGTGTTGTCATCGACTTTGGCAATAGATCTTAATGGCACGATTCCTTGGAACGTTATAGATTGATTGCCCCCTTTTAAGTCCGCTAAATTACTGGATATTTTGTCTTTCAATGGGGGGTCCAGCATTGGATCAACAACAGCTTCATTATGACGAGACTCTAGACGCAGAGCTTCTATTAAGTTTATGGTGCCGGTGTGGAATATTTGGTTGTTGATTTGGGTTCCTCCAGTGTCAAAAAGGCTGTCCTCCATGGTCAGGTGCATTTTGAACTCTGCATCATCAGATTTCTTGTGCAAGTTGTGAAAATGGTCAGAGGGGGTCTCTGGCTCCTCCGTCTTGCTCATCGCTGGCAAGTGGAATGTTGGCTTGGTTTCAGCATTGGAGTCCATGCGTACTATTATGTGATGTAAAAAAAAATACAATCTTTAATGTTGCTGCAACATAGAAATCTATGACATAATAAGCGACCATTTGACCCATTGCATCAGTCCCAAGTTCCTTAACACTGACCAACATTCCCCTCTGCAAAAAAACAGGTAAATTCCGATTGCAGTTGGAGGCTTGATATGGTATTCAATGTTTTACTACAACAACAATAACAAATTACATTTGCAAAATGTAATAAAAAAATTACTAAAGGAGACATTATTATTTGTCTTTCAACACTACACAGCTTCTCTAGACTGAAGGATCTGCACCTAAATCTTCAACAATCCCATTTTATAGCTGGCAACCAGATTTAGTCCAGTAAATGGGCCTAAGATGGACTGTAAAAGAAGTTTACTATTTATTTCACAGTCTACTGGTCTGTGCTTTAAAGTCTTCCTATTTACACTTGGTGTGTTGAGTACACCAGATGCACTGTAAAATAAAACCTTGTTCAACTGCCTTATGCTAGGGTCAGAGAAAAGACTCATAACGGGTTCAGATTTCGGGCGATAAGAAGAAAACCAGCTGGGAGGCTGTTGGAAAAGAAAGAGTACTTTGAACAGCAATTTTCTGCAGAGTATTCTTTAGTCTTAAAAATATAACAAAGATGTTCTCTAAATTACATACACAAAATTAATACTTTCCTCAAAAACAGATGCAGCTAGTGGTCCAAAGCTGTACTATAGCAGATTGTATAGCCCTCGTTCCCTACAGATTAATGTAATTATAGAACCTGCATACTGTGTAGTGTCAAATCAACACAAAGTAAAGTGGACCATGAAACAAAGAATAATCACTTTTGTTTGACCGAAATTCTCTTGAAAGTTTGTTGGATAACTGAATGTATGAGTAGACTGTAAGGTTACATTTCCCACAATGTGCTATATCAGGGTGGTCCAACTGACAGCCTGATTTCATCTGGCCCAAGAACTATTTCCAACTTGGGGCTGCCTGGTCCCTCCCTTCCTGGAAAACCATGCTCTCGTGGCAGCAGCAGGAGCCGGTGGCTACGAGGATACAGTACAGGAAATGGAAATAATGCCGACTGTTGCTGCAGTGTGTCAGGAAGCACCTCCCGAGCTGAGGGGAAGGTAAGTGGATCTCCTTACCAACCACATCCTCCCAGTTGCTGGCTCCTGCCAAATAGTGCTGCCCGGGAGTGTGTTCATTCCCCTGCCAGATAGTGAGCCGTGCAGCGAGGAAGTAATAATAATAATAATCCTTGCATTTGATATAGCGCTTTTCACGTCTTCTAGACGTCCCAAAGCGCTTCACAGAACACACTGTAAAGTGAATTGACTGTATATTTGTGGTCGCACGCGGCAGCCAATTGCGCACAGCAGTGTCCCACAAACAGTCGTAGATTGAAAATGACCAATTTATTATTGTTTTTGGTTTTGGAGGGATTATTATTAGGCTCTGTGTGGAGTAAGGAAACTTGCCCAAGGTTTCGCCCTCTGCCTGGAATTGAACTCGGGTCTCTCGCTTGTAAAGCGAGTGCTCTAACCACTGAGCTACAGGACTCCACAAGTGAGTGGGGGAGGGGGGGAGGAAGAGAGAGGGGAGAGTGAAAACATTTAAACACCTTAAAAGTGTAAAAGGACCTTCACCAGCCTCATATAAACCTACCTAAAATCCCCGAAGCAGACACCTAGAAAAAATGATTAGTACACACAAATATTGTTCTCTTTAGAGGTTTTAACAATGATCCGAAGTTCACCAATTTATTCAATTAAATAAATGGTTTAAACTAAAAAATCTGATAAAATCAGCTATTGGAAAACAGGTCCTGATCTTACGCTAATGGAAGACAAGACCATACCGGCGATGTGTTACGTTGGCACACTACATCCTGTACAGTATTTTCGTAAATTTTCTATCATATTAACTTGATTATATAAAATTGGACACAAAATTAAAGTTCCTTACCATAACTGCGTGATTTCTGTAGTTTGGGATTTTCTGAATTGTTCCAGCTCTGTTCAATAAACAAGATTAGCTGTTGTAAGAACATAGGGAATGAACTGTAGCTAATAGATAAGAAGACAGAGGGGGTGTAACCAGGAGTTGACTAAGGTAACTTAAAGAGGTACTTTGGAATCCGGGGGGAGGGGGAAAGGAACAGGGAGAGGAATTTGGGCCACGAGAGACCATTTTTAAGAGGTAAAAAGATTCCCTACTTTCATACCATTATGAGATTTGAAGGCATGACTCTCCCTCCTCGCCACACCGACACCATAAAGCAAAGATTATGGCTCTACACCAGGGCTCCACCCAAGTCTTCCCATTGGACCCTTTTTTACATAAAGGGAGACTGTTTTGAAAAACTAAGCCTTAAAGAGGAAGTCCGGAACCACAACCCAGATAGCTGATTACTAAGGCACATCAGTAATCACTATTACTGTTTTATTTGGAGTATAAATAAAAGCTCATCTCCACAAGAAATTCCTTGTTCTGGGCCCAAAATACTTAAGCCTGTGATTTAATTAACTCTGACATAACTGAACAAAATTGAGGAAAGGAATCTGTTTACATGTAACAGCTGTGATTGGATAACACTGCACTTTGGAGCGTCCTTCTGATGTTAAAGGCACTATATAAATGTAAACTGCATGGTATGTAGCTCAGTGGTCAGTGGCAAGCGAGAGAGCTGGGTTTGATTCCCAGCATGGTGAAATGTTGGTCAAATTTCCTTACTCCACATGCCTCTGTTTACCTAGCAGTAAGTAGGAACCCAGTTGTTAGTCGATTGACGGATCGTTTTCCGGAGGTAATACGTCCTTCAAAAAAATAATAATAGTAAATTGGTCAATTCAATCCACGACTGTTTGTGGGATGCTGTTTGAGCATTTGGCTGCTGTGTTTCAGCCACAAAATACACAGTCAATTCACTTTACAGTATATTCTGTGAAGCACTTTGAGATGTCTTGAAGATGTGATAAGGCACTGTATCAAATGCCAGGATTATTATTATTATTACTGTTTCACTAAACTTTACCAACAGCTAGTGAAATAATTCAGGTGAGTTGATTCAACAATCCTGTATATTCCCACAATCCATACCTGCATACCCCCCATACCTACATTATAGACCCTCAAGAACTACATGCAGACTTACTGATATAATAGTACAAAACAGCTCCCTTCAATACTGTACCACACATAGTACAATACAAAGAACCCTTGAAAATGTTCCACTTTATTATTTATAAATAACAAAAACTATAGCAACCTTTACATGAATAGCACCTTGGAGCATTTAACAGCAGTATGGTTTGACACCAAGCTGGAAATAGAGAGTAGGTAACTGTCGGTACGGTCGAAGAGGAAAGTCTTACAGTTGATTTGAAGACGGGGAAAAACGGAGCGGCAGACCGAGATTCTGGGCACAGTGCCTGAAAATACAGCCTTTAATGGCGGAAGGAACGGGGGATGTGCAGACGACCTGAGGCAGCTGAGCGAAAGCAGGGGAAATGGGTGTGAGCAGATCAGAGAGATAGGGAGGAGCCAGAGTGTGAAGTAATTTGAAAGTGAGAGTGAGGATCTTGAAAACAATTTTGCAACACAGAGCCAGTGGAGTCTGGGAAGAACTGGGATGATGGATGTGTGGAGTCTGGTGCGTGTGAGGACTTGAGCAACAGAGCATTTGGAGCTTGTTTATAGTGGAGCTGGGGAGACTGGCGAGTAAATAATATAAATAATACTGAGCAGATAAGTAAGTAAATAAATAAGTAGCACACATTCAACTTCTTGAAATGAATTTGGCAAATATTTGAAATAGAAAAATAAAAAAGGATATGAGGAAATGGCAGGGGAGTGTGAATTAATGCATAGTTCATTCAGCAAATGAGTTTAGAAATGTGTGGTAAAATGTCATTCACTCAATAGACTCTTGTTCCATTTTCTCCCAAATGCAAATTGTTCATGCATTATTGTCTTCATCGTCCTGGCCATCGTCCTGGCCATCGTCCTGGCCATCGTCCTGGCCATCGTCCTGGCCATCGTCCTGGCCATCGTCCTGGCCATCGTCCTGGCCATCGTCCTGGCCATCATCCTGGCCATCGTCCTGGCCCTGTGAAATGCTCCAAGGAATGATCCTCGATGAAGGGTGTTACATAAATGGAAGTTGTAACCTATACCCCAAAGTGCATGACTTCGGCTTCACGTGACGTCTTTTCAGCAGGTGATGTCACGGGGCGGAGTCAATCCGACTGATTGACACGCGAGGTCGTGACGCAGACGATGTAGGCGTGGGCGCACTTTGATTTGATTGATCAATGACGTGACGGAGCACCGCACAGGCGTCAGGGGCGGTTGTGCCTGACGTCACAAAGGAGCGTGAGAGCCGCCCATCGCAGCCGTGAAGCCTGCAAAGCAAAGCAAGGCACGCGGTTAATGGGGCAGCGCGAGGATGCGGCTTTGCGGCCTTTAGCGACCCGTAGTGAAGGGCTCCACCTTCTCCCCACCCCAGTCTTCACCGCACACCGCACCAATGTCTGCCCCAGACCACGACTGGTTTCCCACTCACCTGCGAGTGACGGTTATCCGAGCGCGGGGCCTGAGGCCTAAGGGCAAAAATGGACTGAACAAGTGTTACACGGTGATCCAGCTCGGGGAGGAGAAGTTTGTGACCTCGGTGAAGGAGGGGACGCTGAACCCGGAGTGGAAGGAGCAGTGCTCACTGCAGCTGCCCCTAGTGCTGGACAGCTCGGACAAGTGGGTCCTGCACCTGGTCGTCAAGCAGAGCAACGCCGTGACTCCCGACAAGTTCCTGGGACACGTGTCGCTGCCCGTGGTCCTGCTGTACGAGGACAAGACCAAAAGAAAGGACGAGTAAGGTTGCTTCCTCTCCTGCTTTTCAACTCACACAGCCTGAGGGAGCCGGACCAGCACATGTGTGGAGTTAAACACATATGTTTGTTTTATAATTGTTTTGCCCAAAAAATATACAGTCAATTCACTTTACACTATATTATGTCAAGCACTTTGAGACGTCTCAAAGACATGATAAGGCACAATATCAAATGTAAGGATTATTATTATTTTCTAATTACTCTT